AGTGAATAAACCTGCACAAGAAAAATAAGACATTCAAACTTGCTAAGTACACGATTAAGTTGGTTTAGACAATGTGTGCAATGCGCTCTAGAGTCTCCTAGTCATAGAATGAATGACAGTTAGCATAGCATAGCGAGTGCCATGCTTGTAACGCTTTTATCTCTTCGTCTGGTATTCTGCCTTTATGATATTTGTCGGTTTGTTTAGCGTACTAAGTTTCATGCGTGTAATTCGCTCTTCACTCGATTTTTCAAGCGAGCCGCTTAGCCGCTCCTCTGTATCTCGGACAGCAGTCCTTATGATTTTTTAAAGCTATATACAGCATGGTAAAGGGTCCTTTGGTTGCGAAGTCTTTTGAGCGATTTTGTGAAAAAATCTTCCGCGCCTTGTACTCCTGAAATTAGGGTAATTAGAGTTTTCTCAAAAAGAACTCACACTCCTGTCACATATCCCTTCACAATAACTCACAGGATTATAGAACTCTTAGAACCAGGGCCCGGCACGAGGTGGGCAAACGGGGTTTTCCAAAACGAATTCTCCTTTGATCCCAACAGTTTTTACGAATATCCCCTTGAGCACAAAAATGACGCTTTGTGCTTGTGCAACGAGAGCACCGGTTACACTTTGCCTAAACGCGCTCAAAGGCGCCCAAAATGTTCAAATTCCTCTAATTACTCCTCACCTGTATCAAGATAGAAAACAGGAAGAAGAATAAGCAAGAGAAATGATGAGGAATGAATATTATCACAGTAGCGCAGTCATAGAAGTGAGACACGCCGTTCCCGCGCGTATCGATTGACTGGGGCGCGCTTTCCATCTTAGAAAGCTATGCTGCTGATGCGATTTTGGGCTCTAACAAAGGCAAGAGGAGGAGTTTCGGAACCAAAATCTCACCATGTAGTAAAGCTTAGGTGCACAACAGATTTATGTAAAAATTTTGAAAAAATTATGTGAATTAAAAGTTTTGCCCACCTCACGTGGGCATTAGGTGGGCAATTGCCCACCTAATTTGGAAAAAAGTTGAGCACGCTCTTCATTCACATAAGTTTTTCATAATTTTTCATACATTGTTCCTTAGTCCTACTGCGCGTATACACACCAAGTCTCGCGCGATTTCGTTTTCTCTACGCTGCAAACGAGCCATTTTTCCATTTTCTTGATAATGGGAAATTTTCAGAAAAAAGCTTGCCACAACCTTCAGTCACATAATTTTTCAATGAAACTCCTCAGTAGAGCCCTGCAAGCCCGTGTGCATGTACTTACCAAGTTTCATACCGTATGGTCATCTGTGCGCTGCAAACGAGCCATTTGAATTCACATCTTCATTTACCACTTTTGCAAATTTTTTGGAAAAAATGCTTATTACTCCTCCCATTCACATAAGTTTTTCATAGTATTTCACACTTTGTTTCTACTAGCCTCTCTTCCTCCGCTTACATAATTTGGTGCTATATCGTTACGCTTGCATTGAGAACTGACCATGTAATCATGCTGTTCATCGGCATCGCTCATGCGACGTCGCGCACGCGGCAATCAGCGGCAACGCGGCGTAGCGCGCGCGAACTCTGCTGTGCGTTGAGGTTTGAAAACTATTTCCCAATGAATTAGATGTATAAGGTAAGCATGATTCGAACTTTTGCTTGCTCTTGGAATCTTCTTTCGGGGCTCCGCTTCGGATCCCGCAAAAACGATATCCCCTTTGCTTTTAGGCCCCAAAACGATTTCCAGCCTGTCATTTGCCCACCTCGTGCCGGGCCCTGCTTAGAACTGCTTGTATGTTGTCTGTGTATTCTTATAGTAGTCGTAACACTAGTTGACCTTACTTCGCGATGAATGTTTAACCACTCAAGCTTCGTGCACGGTATGTCAAGTCGAAAGGCAGGTGAGCGAGCATCAGCGCATGAGTTCTCTGTTATTGCTCAGTTTATTTTCCACAGTCACAATTAGCATTTGTGACTAACACATTTGTGACTGACTTTATGATAACACCATTATATTTGCTTTTCATCATTACCTCTACAGCTTTATGAATTTACAGTCTCAGTAATTCATGCTTGCACTGCTCTACCCTTGCAGTTACATGCCCTTACAATAAAGGTTCAATTACCCGCGTAAGGTATCTAAAACTAAGTTCTCCACTTCGAAAACACACTATATCAAAAGATCGTTCAAAATTTCACAACCCTACACGATAATGGTGTCTGGATGTGTGCACCAAAACCGTTTGTATGGATAGTATCGAATTTTAAACGAACATTTTCAGTTTCTCTTCTATGATCACTAACCCGGTTCTCGCAGATCAACGAATATTTTTGGATTCTTGAATAATGCTTGAACATTACCAGCATACATGATATTCCACGCCCGGCTATCTCTGAATCTTGGCATAATGTCAATTATGCCAAGATTCAGAAAACCGTAGACCGTACTGACTGTTGACTGTATTGACAATAAAGGAAGGATCTACCAATCTTGGAAAGCTTAACATTATATAACATACAAACACACGCTTTGACGATTTTAACACGTTTCGGACCGGTGCTGCACATGGTGCAGCACCCTGTTTTGAAGGATCTTTTTGACGTTTACAGGAGGTTTTCTTTTAGTCCAAGGTTATCAAGTTAAAGGCCTAAGCTTCTACTTTTCAAATGGCTCTGTAGAGTTCTGCCACCGATATTTATTTAGGAGATATGAGCACAAATCGAACAACAGTTGCAACTGCGGCAACGCGAACGATGCGTGCGACGTCGCAACTTTTCCCTGCTTCGATTTCAGAGAGAAAAACCGTAGTTTCAATAATGATGTGTACTGTGCATAACATACATAATTTTGCATACTATTTGAAACTGAGTTCTTACTCCTATCTTTCAAGAAAGCACAAAAATCCCTCTCAGGCAACAAAATTCAAACACTTCGAATTCACTCAGAATTTTGAGTATGGAGCTTAATTGACATGCTGATTACAGATGCGGCCCACAGTCTGCTTAATAAGGTCTCTTTGTAGGCCAGCGGCTGAAGTTACACTCTTTTTCGCCGCGCGCGAGCGGTCCGAAACGTGTTAAATGACACAAGACTCGTAGATTCATCATGGCGGTGCTGCAAAGGTGACCCCAAAAACTTCAAAGCACCCTGTATTTTCTAAGCGCTGCACTATGAAAATAATGACAAGCTTCTACAAGGGTTTGCATTCCAAAGATGTCCTTATGAGGAAAAATTCTGATTATTCGTCTCTTTCTTCCTCTTGATAGCTTTGCACATATTTCGTTACTCTCCAAATCAATTTCGGCAAACTACACTCTTGAATATCACATGTCTCCTTCTAGATAAATGGCAAGAAACAGTATGCAATACCCAATATGAAAATCAGTAGTAAGGTCGTTCAAGTATCGTCAGGAAATGCATTATGTCTTCTACAGCGAAATTTATGTGTATGCTCAAAATCCCATTCCATGTGTTTAAACTAGCTTAATTATTTGTGCGCAAAGCAAAAGGAGTAGAAGAATGTCTCAGAACAAAAATGATCCTTATGAGGAGGTGCCGAGCGTTCTTCTAATAGTTAAGTAGCGATCAGACAACAATCTGAATTTCCGGTTTGGAATTGATTATTTAATCGGATCACTCCATCTTCATTGCTGATAATTGAATGGACACCACATCGAAAGAAAATCAACTGAAGAATTATGGCATTTTCTTAGACATTGTTTTCTGCGTCCAAATGTGAAACGGATAAAACGAATAACTAGAGCAACCTGACATAACTAGATCCGATAATCTCCAATCTACTATTTTCTCATAGCTCAAGAATAGGCGCACACGCTCCAATTTGGTCCAGTTTTCGTCACTTCTTAATTTACGTGAAATCATTTTTGAAGATTACTAGCTGGCTTTTCCGGTCCGTACGAGCCATTGTTCACTGGCGATAGGGTAAATGCTGTTCTGGCCGCCAGCGTATTTACTACACTGCGAGACCCCCTTCCTCATGTTATGCACGCGCTTACCTAGGAACTCAACTCCAGTTCACCGCATCTTCGTGATCCCAAGACTGAAATGAGCATTATCGCCCCCGATTACATGACTATGAATAAATGGTTAGAACATGATGAGCTTCCATTTACCTAAATATATGTAAGCAATTCAATAACTTGATAGAAGAACCCAGCGATACGCCACAAAAAATAGTCTGTGGTCACCGCCGCGGTCAGCTCAATTGGTCAATACACAACGAAATCTGTAAAACACATGCGCATTTATAGGCTGCTGCATGACGAAGGCGCAATATCTTTGCGCGCGAACGCGTCTTTACTAGCAGTAGAGCGCAAGAGGCGCAGGATTTGCAACGGTGAGGGCAGGCGCGCGCCGTGTTCGCGCCCGCTCAACTAATACTGCTTCTGCGCCTTTGTCATGCAGTAGCCTTTACCAATATACTTACCCTTTGCTTCGAGCAGATCGGCGGTTGGAAGGCGGGGCTCCGTGACCTAATTAAGGCTAATATATGATCAGAGAGCATGTTCGCGAGGGAGGCGTAGACTGTGCCGTGGACGCGAGCAGTCGCCTCCTAGGTCATGAAGCCCCGCCCTCAAGCAGCTGATCTGGTTGAAGCAAAGGGTAAAACTTGAAGTTTTATGTATATGAAGATTATAGCAGTTTATCTCGCCTAACCACGAAAGCGTACCCGAAAGCACAATAAAATTGAATACTTGCAAAATGCATTAGCGTTATTGTGCCGAGACCGCTTCCAAGGCCCCAACCTCTGTTTTTAACGCCAAAAATGGAGGCGGAGCGTCCCTTTCTGGCGCGAAGTTCAAAACTGTTGCTTCAAGCACCGAATATATGCATTCTTGATCTATCTGTCTCTACACCAATAAACATCTGGTTTGTGCATTAGGCATTCATCATTCAATAGTTTATCGCAATAAAAACTTATTAAATAATATAATAAAATATGATAACATCCGCCATTGAGCGGAGCAGCAATACAAGAGAAAAAAAAACAGAAACGAGAGAAGAGTGAGTCGCAAGAGTGTGCAATGAGAGTGTGGTGTGTATGTGATAGGGTGTACAGAACCGATTTGGTAATGGCTTGTGACTAGACGTAAATCAACTAGAAAACCAAAGAAATTGTCGGTAACTGTTGAAAAGCGGCAGTTCTACTGAGAAAACTACTTTACACATAAACAGATTGGCTCACAATCGAAAAGAGATGAAAAAGAAAAAGAGAAGAGAATTCGAGACTCGAAATGAAAACTGATACTTAAGGAAAGGCAATGACAGTGACAACAGCCAACAGATCTACTGCCTTCTCACGCGTCATCGGTCCTGTGTACAAAAAATAAAGGGAAATGAGAGAAAACAGCTCCTGCGCGGGGAAATGTGAGTAGCACGAGCGGGAAGGGGTGTGGCCCTCAGTTCCCGGTTGACTAACGCGGGAAAGTTCGAAATAAGCGGGAAGTGAGGGCGGGGCAGGAGCGAAAACGAAAAACTGCGCAGAGCCGTTCAAATGAAAAAGATCACTGTATGCGTATATGACGATTTCTAATAGCATAACGAGAAAACGATCTTTCGGAGAAAATGATGGGCGGAGAAGATCTTACACATAATTGCACACAACTGTAAAAGAACGAGAAAATCGAGTTGCCTAATTGGGGGTGTGTCAAGAATGGGGGACTGCGCGGCTGGATATGGCAACCGCCAACCGCCGAGCTGCAAAGAGATTTACAAATCGCTTCCGAACGGCGACGGCACACCTCAAGCGAAGCTGGCGGACACGCTTTGCACGCGCGACCACGCGCGTCTTAGTATAGACCGCAGCCGCGAAGGTTGTTGGCGATGATCACATCGGTGACCGCGTCGAACACAAATTGGATGTTCGTCGTGTCTGTAGCACACGTCATGTGACAATAGATTTCCTAAAATATAATAATTTTTATACCCAACATGGAGTACAAATTGCAATCAAAAACAAGGCAATGTAGCTGCGCTATGATGCCTATGAGTCGCAGCGCTTAAGCTTGTCTGCATTGATTGATTTTCTGTCGTGACAGCACAAACTGCTGCATAGGCGCAAAATTTGTGGCTTTTATCAATTTTGAGCTTGCACGAAGCGGTAAGTGATTGTAGCGACAGCGATGCCTATGAGTCGAACGCAACAACAATTGTTGCTTTTACCCCCTTACTGCTTCTTTTGTCTGTTTGTGCTAAGGCAATATTTCTTGGCTGCGCGCCTTTCTATGCTTACAAAAAATCAATAATTGAACTACATGGCCTTGCTTGCGCGCCGCGACTCAGAGGCATCTGGCCCTCTCACTATATGGTAAAAATTGTGAAATGAGAATTTTGAAAAAAATGATTACGTCACAAACCTTATTAGCTGACTTGTTCTTTGCTTCAAATTGTGCTTGTATATATGCAGACGCTTCATGATAATCTTGCCGACCTAAATTAAAGAAATAAACGTTTTGAAAAAAATTTTCTCATTCCTAAGATGACTTACCTGAATACTCCGGGAAACAAATAGTAAGTGGACTTTTCTTGATTTTCTCCTCGAAGAGATCTTTCTTGTTCAAAAATAAAATAATCGACGTGTCGGTGAACCATTTATTGTTACAGATCGAATCAAACAATTTCAGAGATTCATGCATTCGATTCTGAAAACAAACACATTTTTTCAGATTTAAACACATGTCGTATAACTCGATGTCCTACAACTGTATAGAAGGTTTTTGTGCAATTCTTCGTCGAATGGGTTTGCGAAAGCTATTCTAAGCTGGCAGATGGTTTTGATAAACGACCCGTGACTGATGTGCTGCCTGCATCTTATCTAACAAAAGTGCAAAACCACTGAATGTGCTTATGGTAAGATTGAAGGATATTCGCACCATGTGGCTAGCCATTTTTAGTACGTCTTGAAAGAAAACACCTTTTAAATTACGCAAAAGGAAGAGAGAAAAAGGAAGAGGATTTGATGTTGTTTTGTCAAAGGGGCTTAGATTTTTGCAGGATCTTGAGATGATAACAGGAGAAGCAATAGAAGAAAACTCAGAGAAGGCATCATAACGTGAAGCCAAGAAATTTATCTGTATATGAAGAATTGCTGCGCCTATTCAAAAAAAGGTGAAACTGCGTGAAATCGCGCGGCTCCCGCGGCGAATACGCCTGCAAATTTAGCACCTTTACGATTACTGGTTCACTAGTCACTAGAAGAAGTATGTTTATCAACTTCCAAATGTGATTCTTAGGTTTAAATTCTAGGACCTAAATTTTTTTCGGTCAGGTAATTTTATCGCAGGTAATAAATTCTAAAAATACGCTATAAGTTCCTCTTTTGCATCTAATGATAAAAAGTTAGCGATACATGCTGCGTTGCCGCTCCGCTAAGCGATGAGTGATGCTAGGAAGAAATCAATAATTTGCAAAATTGAAAGTATACAGTCGAGTAGATTTCCTGCTTAATATAGTGTCCCTGCAGACGCGACAACGCTGGGGCGTCAATAATTGCCTGACGAGTTCCCGAGCTAGGGTTTTCCAGGTTTTTCTTTGCTTATTTCATGCTTTTTTTGTTGATTCGTTGCTGATAAAGAGGAAAAGGGTAACTTAGAGAGCAGTTTCTGTTTTCTGAGAAGTTCTATCATCGCATATTCACAGATATCCACGTGGAAGCATTTCGTGTCAGCTTCTTATCTATTTTTTTGTCATTTCTTTCTCTTCTGTTTCTCTTCTTCTTCCTTCAAACCTCCTCCTTCTTGTAAAGCGTTTCTTTGAACGCTAGTTGGCTTGTCTTGCAGCAACTTCTGCTTTCATCCATAAGAAATAGCATTTTAATCAAGTATTTTATGTGATAAAGACAATAAGTCAATCGCAAAAACCCACTAGCGTTCAAAGAAGTACCTCACAAGAAGAAAGAGACATGAAGTGACAAAAAAATAGACAAGAAGCTGACGCGAACTGCTTCCACGTGGATATCTTTGAATATGCGATGATAGAACTTCTCAAAAAACAGAAACTACTCTCTAACTTACCCTTTTCTTCTTTATCAGCAACGAATCACCTAAAAGCATGAAATAAGCAAAGAAAAACCTGGAAAACACTAGCTCTGGAACTCGTCAGGCAATTATTGACGCCCCAGCGTTGTCGCGTCTGCAGGGACACCATATTAAGCAGGAAATCTACTCGACTGTACCTGCCCGCCCTAGAATTCTAAAGAGTAAACTCACAACAATAAATTGCTAAACTGGTACTCTCGTGATGATAAAATACTTAAAGCGTTCATAACTACTCTTTCCTACAACCCCCCCCCCTTGCACTCAGATGAGCTCCTATGTGACTACGAATGCCTGCCAGCGCCTGTGACATATCTCAATAAAATACTTCAAACATTTTTTCAGAGTGAAAAAGGACCATACCAGTCAGTACCTTGCACCAGTAAATTTTCTGTTCTTTTCCCATTACACTTCGAGGACAATGGATACAGGATCTATTATTTATTTTGCGACTAGGAGACCCAAATCGCTCTGCACACCTTGTCTAAACAAGGTTGAACTTGTTCTTTCCTGTTTTCAAATAGTAAATATTCTATGTGTTGGATACAAGTGTAAATTTGTTTACAAAAGATCAAGAATGTCCTGACAATGCATGCGAAGCGGTTTCGAGTCTCTTAGTCAGAAAATAAATGAATTTAGCTTTGAAGTAGAGTACAAGTTTTGACTTGCTGAAAACATGCGTAAAATCAATAAGTTTTACAGCCAACAATGGAAGATAGCCATAGTTGCGCAGCAAAAAATGCGACTATGTGTAATTGCACACCTTATGCGTGTCTATAGTCAATGATGAAGATGCTACTTCCTCTGAAGTCATACATCTTTACCAATATTTTGCCTAAAATGGATAGTGAGAGAGCCGATCATTTTTCTTTTGAGAGTGAGTACTCTTTGCTTCAACCAGATCGGCGGTGGGAAGGCGGGGCTTCGTGACCTAATTAAGGCTAGAAAATGATCAGAGAGCGTGTTCACGAGGGAGGCGCAGGCTGCGTCGCAGACACGAGCAGTCGAACATAGGTCATGAAGCCCCGCCTTCCAGCAGCCAACCTGGTTGAAACAAAGGGTATATCTCCAAACAAAAACCCGAGCTGTGAATAGAATATTTTGCAATGAAAAATCAACAGAAGTGTCTCAAATAGCGAATTTTCACCCAAGCAAAAGTTACAACTCAGACTCTAAAACGTATAGCGCCGAGGAATTTACTTCTCTTCACCTACTTCCAACCCCCCCCCCCGTCTTATCTGCAAAAACAAAACCAAACCAACCGTAGTTTCGTCCTCGTGCAATACTTGATCGTATTCGGACATGGCAACACAGAAAATGATCGCTGTTACATCTTCAAAACAGTGAATCCATTTTTTCCGTTCTGATCGTTGACCACCCACATCAAATAATCTAGAAAGCACAAAACGTAATGCAATTCTGGCGATAAACTCCAAGAAAAATCATCAAACAGCTGAAAAAAAAAGCTTGAACTCACTTGAAGTTGAGGTTTTTGAAGGTGAAATGAACTTCAACAATACCAGTAGTCTTTACACGAGTACGTAGTATATCTTGTTCAGTTGGCTGATAACTTGCTTCACCTAATCGTTCTAGATCATCTAGGAAACTGAAAAAAGGCATTTGTTGAGTTAGGAGGAGGAGGGGGGGGGGGCAAAATCCGAAAAATTTAGGGGGCTACTCACTATTTGGCAGAATCGTTGAGTTGATATTCGTTGCTTCGTGCAAAGCATTCTTGTACTCCGCTATCCGCCCATAGCCTTTTCATTGCTGACAGTAATTCTTCACTAAAAAAAATTTTCCGCCGTATGTCGTTATTGTTAATTATTTAACAAAAAACCATTTCATCGATCAGATCAAAAATAGACAAAAAAAACCGTGGTTTTATTTATTCAAGCATTAATACCCATAAATTGTGTATCTGCACAAAGTGCGCCAATACAGGCAGAAATCTTTACTAGATATTTTGCGTATTATGCTATCAAACTAACGGGCGGGAATCAGCTGGTCCTGTGCAGAATAAGCTAAAGGCAAAGAAATTTTTTTTAATACTTCAGTTCTATTTTTATACTATGAGGCGCCAAGTTGTTGTAAACAGAATGTGGCGCTAAATGACGCGCATTCGGTATTTGGTGTCGCGTACGAACAATTCAAGAATGTCGTACATATTAACAACAAAAAGTATCTCCAAGCAGTAAATAATTACTAGTTTTTTGAATTAAAAAAAAGATTTCACTGCCACTATGGTCTCGTTAATATTCTCCGACATGACACCACATGCCAAATTTTCGCAGTTTAGCGCGCAGGTCTTGCTCAACCGGTTCTAACAGGTTATCCCCTGATTGGGCATATCGAGCACATTATCACAACATTTGACTCTATAATATCACTTTCTAACAAGCACCCACGGTCCCATCACGATTTCATTGGCCACTAGCCAAAAACAACCACCTGTTTACTCTACATCACTACTTTAACTCTGCAATCTACAAGGCCTTGACCATTTTGTCATGCTATCCATCATTCCCTTCTCCTTATATCCTCTTTTGCTGACTTACTGATTGACATATTCTTGTACTTATTGAAGTGTAAGTAATTTGTCATTCTAGCTCCTGTCGTGCACAAGCTCGAGCCGCATGACATGCATCAAATAGGGGAAAGTACAAAGTTTTGAGATAGATTGCAAAAGCTACAATGCAAAAGCGCGCTCCATTTTCAATGCTAGAGAAATTCCATACAGGACCTATCGCACAAGACTCTGCGACAGTTCTGTTGCACGCGCGACGCGCTAAGACAAGTCAAGCATGGTGGCTATTAAATAGCGGTGTGCAAAACGGCCGTTCCCTTTTTTAGACTGATGATGTGCAGTTGCACTATTATACGTCGTAAAGTTCGTATAAGCCGCAAAGAAGCTTTTTTTACTGTTTGATATCCTTGTTTACCAGCTGAATATGCGTAAATCCTGATTCCTCTTTTTTTCCTTTGTCATTAAGTCCTTTCGCGATATTTCCGCAACTTTTGCGTAAATATCAGTAAACAAAAGGATAAGCAGAAGAGTACAAACCTTTTGCGTAAAGCAATTGTGTACGTCTATCTTACGCAGTATTACGGTAACTTCTAGGCGTGGAAAAAGCGTGCGATGTGCAAAAACGCACGCGTAATAATAAGTAGCTTCAAAAAAGAAATAATTTGCACGTACATATAATTTGCTGTTGCACATCCACATTTATTGCCACGTCTTTTTTGCTATGGTTACGGTACGCTACACTCGTCAAAACGTGTATAAGCCTGTTTCAATTCTGCTGAATCTTAAATTTGCATATGATGTCATTTAAATTACGGCCGATTGAAATGAGATTGAAATTTCTGCAAAAAAAGCAATGCATGATGTGATTTGCAAATTACTATCGATATAATAAATTTCTTCTATAACGGCTTTCCTAACGACGTGTAAAATCAAATAATCAAATGTAATTTCAGTTAACTGCTATCGTAAGTAACTGAAATATGTAAGGTGAAAAAGAGAAATGATGTATCACCATGAAAATGAAGAAAAAGTTATTGGATTAGATTACATTATAAGTTGTTTCAACAAATTTTTATATGAAAAATCTCAATTTAATAACCATTTTTGCATTTTGATTTTATGAACTCGTAGGAAATTTGCACATGAAAGTTCAGAAGGGAACAGGAAACAAATTTATTTCCTCTCATCGATTTTTCACTTAGAATTTGGGAGGCAAACTTACGACAGATAGGTTCTACACGCAAAACAGAATTTCGAAAAAGTTTTTGAAAAACTCTTGAATTTGCCGCATTTCCATGTAATTCAGTAAAACGCAATTTTGTTTTCTACAGAATGAAAACGACAAACATTTTCTCCAATCAAATTATCTTCAAAAATAATTTTTAGGAATTTTGGAGGAAAAATTCCAAAGCTCCTGATATCTTCATCGCTGAAATTTTTAGAAAAACACTTTCTCTAGGTTTGCCATTAGCCATCATTTGCCAGGCCGTAGATCGCGCACACTTGAGCAGCCTCCAAAAATTCCTTTCAGCGTTCCCTTCATTTGCGACGAATTTAGCAGAGCAATCAGGAAAAGTCTGCAGCACGCGGGGCTCGCAAATGACGTAAGAGTCGTGGACATACCACCCCCCAACCTTAGGAAACAACTTATACGAAATCGTGCCTACGACCGGTTATGTACGATTCCGAATTGCGTCATTTGTCCGTTTGGGAAGCAGGGGGATTGTATGGAGTCTGGCGTAGTGTATCTGATTACGTGCCGGACATGTGGAGATCAGTATGTAGGGGAAACCGGGAGGCCCTTGTGCGTACGGGTCAAGGAGCACCTAGACGGGCTCGAAAAATCGAAGTTGTCTACCCCTCTAGGTGCCCACCGCAGGCAACGCCATGACGATCAACACTATGACGTAGCTGTCACCATCTTATCGCAGGAGCCTGATACAGTAGCGCGAAAGACGTTGGAGGCATTTTGGATAGCATCAAAAACTCCAAAAATAAACCGCAAAGAAGAGTGCATTGCCGTGACTACCGAATTAGCACCGTATCAAGCTCTTTGTGGCTTTTGACCTACGGGTCTGGGTCAGGTCAGGTCATCTGGGCTGTATAAATAGTGGTATAGCAGTACACAGTAACGGCGCTATCCATTAGGTGGCCTGCTCTTAGTCTCCATTGCTGGCTATTGAGGTAAGCATAGCTTAGTTACGGTCTCTATCTTCATCTTGTAACTACCTTGTGTTGAACGGTATCTGTTAGGTGACTGAGTGCTTAGAGGAACAGTTTCGCATAGTTTTTGATCTTTCAGGCTCCGAAGAAGGAGTTGTACTCCGAAACGTTAGCCGAGAAATAAAGATCGATACCAATCTTGGCCACTGCTCAAATATCATACCAAAGTTATATGGACTATGCCAAGATTAATTGACAATCGAGCTTTAACTTTCTCTAGGATTTTACAAAAGTTAAAAATTTGGTATTACAGCAACAATAATAACGGAAGGAAATCAATTTGAAAATGTACAAAATGTATGCAAAAAAAAACAACACTCCCGCCCACCTGAACGGTTCTGTGTCCTCCATCCGGGCGACAACATCCATGACAAGTTTGGCATCGACCTAAAACGGAAAATTTTGATGTGAAAACTCATCAGAAAAAAATATGCTGTTCTTAGGTTTGTTTACAAGTGTTGCGCCAGCAATTTCTTTGGAAAGTTGTAATTTCCTCTGAGCGATTTTCTCAGATTCATATATCACTACATAATATTCTCTATGGCGAAATAAATTTGCAGTTTCTGGCAGAACTAAAATAAAAATGTTCACGTAAACATATCGAGGCGACGCAAGTCGATAAGGAAAGACCTACAATTTTTTCTCAAAATTTTGGTTGCAAGAAACAAAGGTTCAATAAAATCAAATTATAGTTTTTGGTGTAGCTTTACGACCTACTTCTTTCGATTAAGGTTCTGCTAAAAAGATTTCTACATATAATTTAAGCTTCTTTTATCCCTAATTTTGGTTTTGTGTCAAATCAATATAATGTATAATAGTACTTACTATATATCACAAAAATTTTGAAATATAGACTGGAACATTCTTAAGCAGTTTTTTAGCAGATTTTTTACAGTCTTCGAGCAAGACTTATGAACCAACACAGCATCTTTTTCACCAAGCCTCTCCCTTTCCAAATCATTTTTTCCTCAAAACGCTTGGATAAGCTGGACTTTCTCCACCTCTCCTTCCCTCCGCCCCCCTCATCCTGTCCCCTTCCCACACGATAACCATTGCTAGGCCGAGGTCCGAACGACTCGGACGTTGACGACACAGCACATCGTCGTCGGCTCTCGGGCCGACCTCTCAGCATCGATCGTGCGGTGAGGTGTTTCGGGCCGCCGACGACGGCAGCGGTCGGCCGGCCGGAGACGGGGCCCCCGGCCCCCTCTGCACCCTCCGCTTAGAGCAGCATGTATGTGCCGTCCGATGACAAGGTTCTCCGCTTCACTGAACGCTCTCTGCGCTCACACGCTGCTCTAAGACTCCCCCCCCCCTTCCCATTAGGGCATCATAGCGCGTATCACGTCACCAGCTGCTATAATTCCGTTTAAGTGCAAAATTCCGTGTGACAGTGGTGTAGATCATTTTCGCAGGATTGTAGACGTACTAGACATGCATTAGATTGAAAAAACATTCGCAAAGGTCAAAATTCTAAAAAATCGAATAAAATAGGGGTACTCTAGTTTCACCGTAAGGCCCCGGTCAGACTTCACGCGACTTAATCGTCGCGACCAAATCGCCAAGATTTCCATTCATTTTCATTTCACATTCAAAAATTTCGGTCTGGAAAAGTATCACAACCGATTGCAAGTTGATCTGCATGGAATGATGTTGTAACAGTTGTCTCCTCGCGATTCAGTCGCGACGATCAAATCGCGTGAAGTCTGCCCGGGGCCTAAAGCGTATGGAAAGGAATCGACTTTAAATTGCCAGGCATATGAACTTAATGGGTGAAAGCCTTAAATCATCAAAAGATTAGCTCGAGGAAATCTGCCACGAACCATGCAAAATTAGCTTGAGGAAATCTGCCACAAACCCTGCATCCTTAAGATATCACAACTCGTACCACTTGTCCGCGCAGAAGAGCTAACGGTGATGTACCGCCTCTACCCGTCAATAGAAATATTCTAGAATTTTGGCATAATGGCTCTCATATTCCCCCTCATTTAGACGGAAAAAGTCGTCTTTACAGTAATTCACGCAGAAACAAACAGTTTCACAAAATTTGAAAAATAAAAAAATAAAACATATTTCTTCATCCTTCTACTCTTTGATCTTGAGCACAACATTGAGTCCAGTTGACCCTCGGCATTTCCATTATTGCAACCCCAAAGCTACAATAAATTATTTCGGTCATTACCGTAACCTTACAGTACCCCCTCCTCTTGACCCAGCACCACTCGCGTCTTTTCAGATCTTATTTCAACTTGCCCAGAAATCTTATCATCTTGTCCACTGAGATGCTTTCTTTGAGGGTTAGGGTAGGCGCGGGAGAGGGCGAGGGGAGAGGGGGGGGGGGGGAGCGTGCGAAAATCGAAGTCTTTTGAACTGCTACAACGCTTTTTTCCACAAATCAACTTTAACAACCACATATTCATGAAAAATGACTTCGTTAGCACATTTCCTTCCCCGTTCTCGCTAACTCTCTCCCCCCCTCCCCGTCTATTCTACTGACGCCTACGCCGTTCGCACTTCGCAAGCAACACATGCAAATTAGCGCTACAAAGCGAGAATTTAGATTCGCCGAACTTCCCCCTTCAAATGCCACAAAACGAGAAACAAAAATCAAAAACAAAGATAAATTGAAAATTTGTAGGTCAAAAATACAAAAAAATCGCTCACCTCTCGTTCCGATGCACCAAATGGCACCGATAAATTGGCCATAGCTCGTAGAATAGCGACTAATGATTGTACAGTATTACTGTAGACAACAGGTTTATACTGTTTATAGTCTTCGGCTGTAAATCCGGACTCGTGAATAATCCTGAAAAATTTCTTATTTCCAATTTTTCCTGCAATCTCTCCGAAAAGGGTAAAGACCAATTATTCTCATTTGGTCGAGTACGAAACTACAAAATTCCCAGCGCGGTACCACCAACGTCATAATTTGCTGACGTCTCATTTGCCTATCAAGAAAATACAAATTTAATGTCAAGTTTTATCAGTCGTAATTAAAAGTACATTTCCAGTTCATAGTTGGGTTATCGACGCGGAGAAACTACGGACGCTGCGTGCGCGTATCTGAGCCGACACTCATGAACGAGAGAAAACGTAGGTGAGAGAGACGCAGACAGTTACCGTGACCGCAGGTTACGCGCGATCTGCGTTCATTGCTAAAGTTAAACTTAACTATGCAATATGTTTCGAAAACAAAATTATGCTTCCACGAAGTCAGAATCCTGAACGTATCGACGCAGATAAAAACCTACTTTCTGCAAATGCAGAACAAACACCATCTGCGACAAAATATTCTCTCCAGACAAAAAATGTAACAGCAGCGACTGAGTTTACACACATTTATGAGTTTACAATCATGGGACACTCAACCACTTGTCAAACAGAATAAAAACGTTTCGTTTCGTTTTTTCGGGAGAAAAATAAGGGGGGGGGAGGGGGGGGGGGGGGGGAGAGAAGAAATTCAATGGGATGGATGACAATTTATAGTATTCTTTAGTAGGTCGGAAAAGAACTTGTTAAACAAGTCAGAAGTTGATTTTTCTTGTTCGCTAGGCATTTTCGTAGATTTTTAACATGTCAGTGCGCTCTTTTTCGAGAAAAGAACCTGTTTGAACAAATCAAATGCTGATTTTTCGTGTCCATTTCGCTTATCGTAAATTTTGAAAACCCCAATGTAAATTAACCATTCCTTTAAAAAGGAAAATCTCAAAGACGTTTTCATTGCTCGTCTTTGGCGTCATTTTGTGCACAAAATGTGCAGCATCTCATGTCAATCAAGCGCGATGCAGTAGCGTTCGTTCAGCTAATGCACACCAATTCTGTCAGTAAGATGGAATCGAGCACATTACCGTAATCGTCATGGCAATAAATGCGGCTCGTAAATTTTTCAAAGAGAAAAATTGTCATCGCGTTATGCTAGTCGCTGTCGCGGCTCCATGTTACTTCATCGACCATTAAAAAAGCAAGCAATACTGATGATATCGAGTTTCTCACCGTGAGAAACGATGGAGGGAGGGGGGGGGGGGGGGTAAAAAAGAGAAAAGATTCTTATTGAAGTGGTTGGGGAACCCAAGTAAACCATTGGCCCAAGGGTAGCTCATATGAATCATTGGCAGCCGAGAGATACGCCTTCAAAATCCAACCCAAACCGTACTCAACCGTTACGCTACCGTACTCAAATGGCTGCCGTTTCGGAAAAGTACTGTTTGGTCTGGGCTTGGTAGAGAGAACAGAGATAAGCAGAATGTGAGACCGAGAAAAAATGCTCACTTCATCTGCTTCACAATTGTGGATTTTCCTGACTCTCCAGCACCCAAAAGTAGCAATTTAATATCCTGAAAGAAAAATCGATAAGTTGATTTTTGGAAAAGTGTTGTTGTATAGGCGTACCTTAGCCGCTTGCATGCCATCTTCTTTGAGATTTTTCTCGATCATTCGGGAACGTTCAAGAGCCGCCCGCTCTTCCTGTGACATGGTGCAACCCATGGTGGCTTATTGGTGTGACGATGTTGGCGACACGCTACGCTTGGTGTAAGTGGATGGTGACGATGGCGGTGTCAAAGCGTGGGCGGCGGTGGCGGCAACGGTTGTGACTGGTCACTTCACACACAATCGCTGACGGCGCGCGTTCCTATTGGTTGTGTGTGCGATGCGTGCGATGTGCGGCTGCGACACGGGTTGTGGCACGTGAGTCTATTAACGACTGCTAGCTTGCTTTTGTGTGTGGGGGTGGCGATGATGTCAGAACGTCGGTAAGGACGATAAATGACCACAACGACCCTCCACCTAGAGAGCAAGCCGCACCAGCCGAACCCGATTGAAACTGAAAGTGTACATATTTCTCTAAAAAATCTGCATGGGGCACGATAAAATTCGCAAAAATGCACGATAACAACGAAAGAGCGAGCAAGAAAAAGATTGCTGAGGCAGAAAATGTCTCGCTTCCCTTGAGAAAATGAAAAAAATAGTACTGTATCGTTGTAACTACACCAACTAAGAGATTCTCCAAATACAGGAATTGAGTCGACAAGCCCGGCCACGCGAACATCTGCCACAAATCGTACACGCAAACATATTACATTTCGTGCTAATTGCCCGCAACTGGCGTCATCGGCGACAAATTGTCTTTTATTTCCCAGATTCTTCAGTTATCCTAATCCCGAGGGGAATCCAAGATATATGAAAAGAAAGAGCACAAAGGAAAGAAATAAAAAAGACACACGTCTGGCAAATGTGGACATACTCCCGCAAAAAAGGAGTTCGAGAGGGAGGGAGGGGAGGGCAAATATGAGTGATGAGACTCTGTCGAATTTGTCACATATAGCATGGGTGACCATTTTCGAAAATGAAGGAAGAAGAAGGAAGGAGACTTCCATGATTGACTACTAGGGAGAGTAGAAGACATGCTAAGTACATCATGGGGCGCGTCTAGTGCAAGATTAGGGCAACCCACTTAGTATGGCCGGGCAGGAAACGGATTTGGGGGCGCATAGGGTACAAGACCTAATCTATTCAGAACTACTACTTTGATAGGAACTTCTCATCGCTTCTTCTCTTCCCCCCCCCTCGCCTTACACTATGCACTCTAAATTTGAAGATAGAGAAAATCAATATAGCAACTTAAAAGCCGCTCAGTTCACTTGGACTTGGAACCCCTCACTTAATTGAATGAAATTTTTTGAAGTGAGATTTAGGAGCCATTCCTAGAAAGGAGAGAGAGAGCAATGAACGAGGTCCTAAGACATCGAGAAGATAAGCTGCACTTATGTCGATAAACATTTTTCGAATGACCGAGTAAACGGAAACACCGGGGTGACGATTAAAAAGAAGGAGGGAAAAATAGGAGGGGGGATAGTGGACTCAAACTATAGAAGCTTTGAAAGTGACTTTCAGAAGAGGTATATACAAATATGTAACACTATTGCAAAAAAAAGCCTCTAAAAGTTTTCCTTGAAAATCCGAAAAGAAAAGCCGAATTTCTAGAAGTAAGGATATTCTCATGGGCAGTCAAATTTCTGATTTTCTCAGAATCGCCGCCTCAAAATTTCAAGGAATTTTTCAGAACTTAGGAATGAAAAATGATTTCAGAAAAGTTATGCTCTTCGGTTGCAAAATTCGCAAATTCTATTGTTGATAGCAAAAATGAATGAGGGAAGAAGGAGTTCGCTAGGAAGATACGAAAGAGAGAGAGGGAGGGAGGAGGGGCGAAAAAAATGATAGCAAAGTTCGAGACACAAGAGACAGTAGACGTGAGAACGACTAGAAGTTTACTTTCCATTGAAATCTACGACCCTTCTTTTACACTCTCAAGTACATCTGATGAAACCGGAAAACCGTTGACATTCATCTAAACCTCAACAATTCCTCCATATCCTTCAAAACTATTTGATGAAACAGAAAAATCTTTGATGATTCACTTCAGAATTTTTCAGTTTTAAGTACAAGCGAAACCCGGAAAATCTCATAGTTTTTTTTATATTTTTGAGATATTTTCTTCAAACAAAGCAAGAAACAATAAGAGAAGAACATTTTAAAGAAACCTTCAGAAACAGTGAGGACTATGCCCCGACTAATCCGCACTAATCCCTCAGCCTGGCGCAAAAACAAATCATTTAGCAGTTGAAGTTTGGTTAGGAAGACAATAATGGTTAAAAAAATGATTTTCGAAACAGCAAACTTTCCTCAGTAAACGTTTCTTTTGAAAATTTACAGATGTGTAGGAGTAGCTGAATTACTTCAAGATTTGCAATCAGTAAAAAAAAGTGAGAAGACACCCCCCCCCCCACAATTTGATACTCGAAAAAAGGGACAAATTTGCAAACGCACTGATAAGATAACGATCAATAGCCACAGAGCAAATAGTCTATAATTTGAAGTAGCTTGCTGGAACAAAAATTTCCCAAAAATTTTTACGAAACAATTTAGAAATCCATAACAATAGCAAAAAATAATAGCCTTACGAATGTGGCCTGAGCAAACAAAGCTGAATGGTCTGATTCATGGATGACAGAACAAAAGCGAATAGCTGAATTCATAGATGGGCGCATTAATGGAGGTAGACACAAGGGGAGGGGGAAACGAAGGTGGAAGAAGGGGACCATTTTTGAAAAAAATAACTTTGTGGTAAATTTTGCAGAAATTGTATTGGACTCAAATACGAATATTAGTGTAGGACCGAGGAAGGAGAGAGAGAGGTTACAAAATTTTTAAACAGGTTTTATAAATTCTATAAAAATTCAGAGCAGCTTTTAGATGTTATTTTGGACGTGGCTGAATCCGAGCTTATCTTTCGCTAAAATTTGCTGCTTCAAGCTTGTTGAAATTGGTTAATGGCACGCCCCTTCATCTGAGAACATGTACTGTTGCCCCCTCTCCCCCCCCCCACCACTAAAAAAGTTTTTAGAACCTCTACCGTTGAATAAGCGTTAACGTGTTTGCCGCGATGATGTGTAAAAACCTCCAATCAAGCCCCCCCCCCTCGTCCTAGCCACGCCCATTTCTAGTATCTGTACCTACACGCCTCCCTACAAATCAAAAAATACTTTATTATTTTGGAAGCACGCATGAGTTTTGCAGAATTGATCTCTCGAAATAAGTCCTTGTGAATAGATAATTACATGCAAGTCACGCCCCTTTTTTATCCATGCTACGCCCCTAGAAAATCTCTGGATATTTTGAACGCAGTACGAGACCTCGCAGTCCATTCACAAAGATGAATTTTCCCGTTCTTCTATTCATTCATCATTCACTTTGTAATCATCCATTTATGTCATGAATGTCGTCCTTTTCATTCATCTTCCAAATCGAATTTGCTTTCGTGTTCCCGTCGTTGTCGAAAAAGTCGCGTTCGCCTCTACACTCCATCAAAAGCTCCGTACTGATGATTAAATTCACTTTTTTATGAAGTTTTTGTAGATTTTCAGCACGGCTTGTCTGGACGAGCAACGAGCAAATGAAATGCTTCGGGAGAAATTTCTATATGCTTAGAAAAATTGTACCTTGACCCCAAAAAAATAGAAACGTTTTGAGGCAAGGTTCAAAATGAGGAAGAGAAAAGTAGAGAAGAGAGAGAAAAAACGAAGGAAGAGAACAATAAGCTTCTGGATTTTTCTGATTATACCTTCTAAAGCATATGGACCGGAATGGGAAGCCGGAAATGAGAGGTTAAAAAGAGGGCTTCGGAAGCCCTGCTTTCTCTCACTTCTTTCCCTCCTCCCACGCGTTTGCCAAAACCCAAAAACTTTTCTACCTCTACTCCCATATGAACAAAAAAATACAAATTTTGAAAATTCGGTGCAAACACATTGAGTATCATTGTATAAAATTTTCAACATATATTAAGACTCTAACATGTTGTTGAATTCCGAACCTCTCGGAAGTGCTGCGCTAGTCGCACAAGAAAAGTCCCACTGAGAAATTCGCGCCTATGTTTGAAGATACTGTTTAATCAATTTTTTAGATAGGTCCTTTGGGTTTTTCCAAGCGATTTCAAGTTAGTTCCGGCGGCAGAATAAATATACAAGATAGTAATAAGAAAAATTGAAGGAAGAATTATTATTAATGAGTGATACTGTGAAGAAGTCATTTTTTATAGAAGAGGAATTTGTACAAGCGACGCAAGGATGAAGAAAATAATGTCCTGACATGAGCGAATTTTTTTACATATTACGCGGAAAATGTTGAAAAACTGGGAAAGAAAGAAAATGGAAGGAGAAGGAACGATTCCAAAGACATGAGCTAACAAATTAGCAGCAGCTATTCGAAAATGCTGCGCAAGTCGCGCACGGGGAAAGTTCCTTGGGCAGGTAGGCATACTGTAAAATAAACAAAATTTTGGAAGCATGTGATTGGTAAGTGTGGTTGATCGAAGATCCCGGACACGAAGAAAGCAATCAGTCAACTGTGGGTGGCTCTATTACGTAGATGCTGGTTCCGGAAACGGAACAGAGGACACGAGTAAACAGGCGCGTAGTACAATGAATTGGACGAGTTGCCTCGACGGGCTGTCGACATTAGCATGCGTTGCAAAGGTACAATGGAGCGCGTAGACGTATAACATACTGCGTGGGTTCGCGTTCGGTCAGATGCGGACGCGCTCCAGAATAGGGGACACACTGAGCTTGCTCGGGGGGCCGGAGAGGGACGCGGGGTCCCGTCTCCGTCGACGGCGGCGTCGTCGTCATCGTCGTCGATGTATGATCGATACATACGCGTGTGCGCTCTGTGGCACAGAGCCCTCCTGTGGCCTCTGTGAGTGTGTGTGAGAGTGTCTCCCCCCCCCCCCCCCCACCGATTTGCCTCCGTTGCGCGCGTGTGTCCCTCCGTCACTCGGCTGCCGAGGCCTCGCCGCGCTGCCATGGCCGCCCCATCCGGCGGCCCTCCCCCGTCTTTTCCTCGGCTGCTCTCTCTCTCGCGCTCCATTCACCGCCGCTCGCTCGGATACATACGGCTCTTATAAGATGACGCACACGTATGCGATTTCGAGACTAAAACCTCAGTTGCTCTTACTATCTCTCCCCCCCCCCCCCTCCCCGCCTAATTTCTCTCTAGAAAAATTACAGGACTAACCACTAGCTGCACTTTCCTGACTTATAGTGAACTGGCTGAACTAGCGTAAGCTTCTCCTAAGGTGTAGAACGTTTTTCGCCTACTGTCGCCTGTTGTCGCCCATTGTCGCCCCCGGACATCTGCCATAAATCATGCACTTCAACACACAACAGTCCAGTACCAGTTGTCCGTGCAGGCAGGGCTTCGGCGGCAACGTAAAATCTTCTACATCCTCCTCTAACCCCCCCCCCCACCCATCCACCTCTCGTCAACAAGA